CCTGTGGCTGCTCTGTTGAGAATAGACTAGGGAAGCTAGGTGTTGTAAAGGGGGGGCAATGGGGGGAGACACGTGCAGGAGCAGGGAGACTGTTAAAAGGCTTTGTAGAATTCCATTTACTGAGTTTGAAAAGATAGCAAAAGGTTCTATTTGGGGGTGGGAAGGAAAGATCAAGAGTTTAGCTTTGGACATGTCCCTTTTCAGATATCTATTATCTAAATGAAGGTATTAAGTAGGCAGTTAGATATATGTATGTATCATAGATTTCCCATAGGCAACCTAGGTGTGAGGTTAAAAGCTCACACCTAGGTTGTGCTCTTGAAAAATAGTTCTCCATCTTGCCTGGATTACATCTTCCTATTCTGTACCTGTTGGGATAGTGAATTTTAAAACAAAAAAACAAGAAACTTACCTCTCTCTCTTCCTCTCTCCAATAGCAATCAATATCATACTTTTTAAGACTGATTCAGTTCCATTTAATAAGAGTAGTCAACATCATATTGGAATTGAACTGGCTTCATACTGTCTTTTTCCCTTGGTTCTCTTTTAACACCCAAAGAATGATTGGCATATCATTCTTTGGAAATCCTTGAATAATCTAGCATTCTTAGAGTTGTGATCCACTGTCTATATTATTCTTCCTTAATATGTAGATATTACATGATTTGAAACCAAAAGAACCCACATATAATCCCATCCCTTCATCCCTGCCTTGTTGAGAATCAGTGCGCCTAATGAGAGATGTTACTGATGGGATTGTGTTATGCATGTGAATGATATAGAGGTAGAAAAAAAAGGTTGAGAAACCAGTGTTTCATTTTATTTGCTCAACATCTTTCCCTTAATTGCATGCAATAAATATTTATTGAGTTGTGCAGTATGCTAGTAAAGATGAGAGATAGCTCCTGCACTCAAGGAGCTCATTGTAGTGCCAGGTGAGCCAGATGTAAACAGTTATTTTATGCTGTGATAGAAGTGTATGCATTGGGCGCTGTGGGGAAGGGTTAGAGCTTTCCGAGAAATTGCAAGCTTGAACCGAACCTTAAGGTTAAATATAAGTATTTTCCAGACAGTCAAAGCTTAAAGAGAAGAATATATTAAGCAGAAAGAACAACATGTAAAAAAGGAACAGAGCTGTGAGTTTCATTGTTTTGGGAACAAGAAGTAATAATTCTGATGTGGTTGAAGTTAAGGAAATAGGCTAGAGAGGTAGGCAGGAGGCAGATCCAAGAGAGCCATATATTCTTGAATGCAGTTCTAGCCATGAGTAAAAATTTGAGAGCTGCAAAATACAGAATTTGAAAAGCTAATGAAAAAGAGATGAAATGCTTCCTCCACTGGGTGCCCTGTGCAGGTGATAATTTACCAAGCACAGTAGCAAAAAGAACTGTTAAGCTAACAATTTGCCAATAAGTCTTTTAAAAAATCTCTTCTGATCTCTTTTTAGCATAACAGTGTTACTGCATTTGAGCATGTGTAAAATTTCAGATAAGTCTGCTGTGTTTATCCTTAATTATGAAAAATTCTTAGTTAAAAGGTAAAACAAGAGATGGTGAAAACGGAGGGAATTTTTGTCTCTTGAACAAACTCTTATTATAGTACTTATTGTGAGTCAGGAACTGTTCTCTGTGCTTTGCAAATATTAGGTCATTATTCTCATAACAACCCATGAATTTAGTACTGTTGTAATCTCCATTTTACAGACAGGAAACTGTGAGAATTAGAATTTAAAACCAAGTGTTCTGGCTCCCAAGTCCATGCTGTGAACCACTCTGTGTGCTGCTTCTGGTATGGATGTCCCTGCTTCTCAGAGAATTATTCTAGAGCGGAAGTCTCAGGATAGTTCTCAGAGTGTCTCAAAATAAGTGAAATTATATCTTTAAAAACTTGCATGTATATTTTTTAACAAGAGGATTGATGGCTTTCATCTGTTTGTTAAAAAGATCTACAGGGCAGAAAAGTTTAGTACCGCTGACCTAGAGGAGTGTTGCATGTCCTTTCCATTGTTAAAGAGCTCCTGTTGGCATAATGAGTCCCCCGGAAAAAGAAGATATTTACAAGCCCTTTCAGACTTCTTAGATAACATTCTTCTAAATGAATTTCTTATCTGGCTAATCTTCCTGGGAACTTTCCCCCAGATATCTCATGCCAGGTCCCAGATTTAAAGATTATAATTATTTTATATTGGGGAGGGAGAGGAGGACTAGAGTCTATTTTAAAGTCCTGGGCTCAAAGAATCCTCCTGCCTCAGCCTCCTAAACAGTTGGGATACATGTGCATGCCACCAAACCTGGCTAATTTTTTTTTAGTTTTTGTAGAGATGAGGTCTTACTATTGCCCAGGCCATTCTTGAACTCTACTGGCTTCAAGTGGTCCTCCTGCCTCAGCCTCCCAAAGTGCTGAGATTACAGATGTGAGCCACCACACCCAGCCCTGATAGAAATCTTTGGATAAGACCTACTACTATTATCCTCTGTAGGACAAGGATTCTATTTTCTGTACCTTTCCTTATATCTCAAATGCTTGAGATATAATAAGCATTAATATTTGAATGAGTGGCACATTGTGGGATATAACTGCTTTATATTCAAAGATGAGGGTGGGCACGGCGGCTCATGCCTGGAATTCTAGCAGTTTGGGAGACCAAGACAGGTGGATCAGTTGACGCCAGGAATTCAAGACCAGCCTGGGCAATATAGTGAGACCCCCGTCCGTACAAAAGACTTTTTAAAAAAATTAGCCAGGCTTGGTGGTACATACCTGTAGTCCCAGCTACTCAGAGGCTGAGGCAGGAGGATCACTCGAACCCAGGAATTCAAGGCTACACTGAACTGTGCTTGCACTATTGCCCTCCAGCACTCCAGCCTGGGTGACAGAGTGGGACCCTGTCTCTTAACATACACACATACAAAGATGATATTAATAGTGTTAATCACTCACATTTCACATTGAGACCTTTATGTTGACCTACTGCTAGCTTATCCTTATCACCCCAGTTTTCACTTCTAAATGTCCTTACAGAGCCTGGCACTGTCTCAAGATCTTCTTGGTGCCCTTTTTTGAAGTAACAGTTCTCCTTCTCTCTAATTCATCTGCAGATGAATTAGAAAATACCTCTTTCCCAGAAGCGCATAACTGGCATAAATCTTTGAAAGTAGTGCTCTAGTGCATCTTAATATCTTAAGTCCTTTTTCCTGGCATTAGTTACTCTGCTTAAATCCACCAGACTCAAGCTTTTTGAGAATCCTCCTATGTCAGCATTTTGGGCATCAGGCTATGTGATATAGGTCAGAAACTCCTAGGCTTCATATTTGATAAGTTAAAAGCAAGGAAAATTATTGGATGAAATCTCTTGGGAGAGAGAACAGAACTCTGTGCCAGGTAGACATAACCAAACAATTATGGAGGAGAAACTAAATGAAGTTTAGGAAGATAAGTTGATAATAAATGTAAAAAGACTAGAAGTACTTCAGAAAGAGAATATTTGGATCTCATAACCAAAGTTTTGATGAAGGGATAAGTAGGCTATCGAAGTGTAGACATTTGCCATAAAAGTCAGGGAGGGAGAATAGTGGTTCTAGACAAGCACTTTTGTTTCCTTTATCTTTTTAGAGCAGAATGAGAAAGAAATAGGTATAGTTACTGATCATAGAACTTGCCCAGAGAAATGATTTCCTGCAGTGCCAAGAGCATAGATAGGAAAGTCACTGGTGACAGAAACCAGTGGGAGGTGGTGGTTTAGAGCACATCTCTTCCACGTCTCCTCCTACTCTGTCTTCTTTCAGTATATGGGTCTTATAATCTGCTGCAGTGGAATCTGCCTATTCCTGAATGTATACGACAGTCAGGGTTGCCCTGAATGAAAGTACTTATTGTAGCTTTTTAAAAAACAGCATGCTCTGAATTAAGCAGACCATGGTACAGTCACAGTGTACAAGTTGTATTGTGAGAAGACAACTCATTTCTTTGCTTACTTAAAGATTTTTCATTCTTACAGTCATCAGGTTTACCAGTGTTTGACCCAACAAGCTTTTTCTAACCATATGACCTAGGAAATAAGGTTTTGTAAAAAGAAACAACTTTAAAACTGATGTCTAGGCCGGGCGCAGTAGCTCATGCCTGAAATCCTAGCACTCTGGGAGGCCGAGGCGGGCGGATTGCTCAAGGTCAGGAGTTCGAAACCAGCCTGAGCAAGAGTAAGACCCTGTCTCTATTATAAATAAAGAATTAATTGGCCAACTATATATAAGAAAAATTAGCCAGGCATGGTGGTGCATGCCTGTAGTCCCAGCTACTTGGGAGGCTGAGGCAGGAGGATAGCTTGAGCCCAGGAGTTTGAGGTTGCTGTGAGCTAAGCTGATGCCATGGCACTCTAGCCCAGGCAACAGAGTGACACTCTGTCTCAAAAAAAAAAAAAAAAAAAATCTGATATCTAAAAAGAAAGTAAGAGACAGTCTGTCAGTAGTTATTGTGGGGGAAAATAAAAATTAAGGTCTAGAGTCAGACAAGTTTGAGTTTGGATCCTAATTCTTCTGTGTACTAGCTATGTGACCCTGGATATTAATACTTATTCTTTCTCAACCTCAGTTACCTTATCTGTAAAAAGAGAGAGAGAGGAATGATAACTACTTTGTTTGGGATAGTTATAATGAGAATTAGAAATAATTTCATTAGTGGGTACTTAGTAAGTGGTAGCAGCTACTGTTAATCATAAAAACAAACCAACAAAAAAAACTCATTAGATTACCCTAGGGATAAAAGTTGTGCCTTGAAGACCCTCTGGAGAGAGATAGAATTGCAGGTTGTTTCATTTGTATGACAATGGAGTAAGGAAGAATGTGCTTTGCAGTGTATGGGTTGGTGTGTCTTGATTTGGGGAGGCCTGCATTGACTGGAAGAGGAAGGAAATAAGGAGGTATATTTCTAGGCACATAACTGTTCTAACTCTCCTTCCTGGCTTCCCATGATGTCTTCATTTTCCCTTGTTGCTTTCCTGGCAGGTGGCTGTGAAAAACAATATTGATGTCTTCTACTTCAGCTGCCTCATCCCACTCAATGTACTTTTTGTAGAAGATGGCAAAATGGGTAAGTACATCCCCTCCTGTCCTTCTGCCCAATATACCTTTGCCCTTCCCCTGAATGTCAGGCAGAGCATACCCCCAAAAGTACAGGTTATTTTGAGGTTAAAAAATGAGATAAAGCAAAGGAAAAGAAATCATTTTATCAAAAAGACACTTATTCTTTAATGTTTATCTCAGCACAGTTTACAGTTAATTGCAAAGATAGGAAATCGCCCTAAGTGCCCATCAACACATGAGTGGGTAAAGAAAATGTGGTATGTATATGTGTCATGGAGTACGACTCAGCCATAAAGGAAGGAATGAAGTCGTGTCGTTTGCAGCAACTTGGATGGAACTGGAGACCATTATCCTAAGTGAAGTGTCTCATGCATGGAAAAACAAATACCACGTGTTCTCGCTAATGAATGGGAGCTAAATGATGGGTGTACATAGGCATAAAAAGACATAAAGGACATCGGAAACTAAAGGAGCTGAGAGGGTGGAAGGAGAGGGGAGAGATTAAAACTTAACTATTGGGTGCAGTGAACTCTGTCCTGGTGGCGGGCACACTGAAAGCCCTGACTTCAGCATTATAGAGTATATCCATGTAACAAAAACTTTTTACCCCCTTAATATTTTGGAAAAAAAAAAAAAGGCATAAGGATATTCTAAAGCTCTTCATAATTGCTCATTATTCATTCACCTGGGTCATGATTGTTCTTGCTCTGCCATTGGTCTCTAAATCATAATGTCCATAATGTGAACAATCCAGTTACTCCAGGATAACAGAGGAAGAGGTTTGGGGGCAGCTAGATGTGGATTTGAATCTAGCTGTGCCATTAATCTCTGTGTGTCTGCTGGCAGGGTGCTTTCTGAGTTTTGGTTTCCAAGTTTACAAAGTGTAAATAGTTTCCATAATGACTTAATGAGATAATACATGTAAATTAAGCCCTGTACTAAGTTCATACTGCCTCATGGTAAGAATTCAGGGATTTATAGTAAACCATTAGTACTCCCCATGTGGCTATTGACATTTCACTCTTCCCTTGTGAAATCACCATCTAATAAAACTGACTTATATTGGTACATATTAAATTGTGTTTACACTTAATTGATTTGAATCTCACAATAGCTCTTTGGGTGGGGTGGGCAGGACAGATGTAGTTATATGTGAAGATATTAAGGCTCAAAAACTTATCCAGAGTCACCCAAATAGTAAAACAGAGGAGCCAAAATGAAATCCTAGATGTAAACTCTTTTCTAAGGTATCTTCGTGCTATTGGTGAGGGATTAATTGACCCTGGAGTATAGCACTTCCGCATAGCTAAGAATTGGCTCCAGTCCCAGGCTGTTGCTAGCTGTACTGCAAGAGCCAGCATGCTAAAGGAGAAGTGGTGCAAAGCACCAGAATTGGAATACTGACAGATCGTGCACATCCTTCCTTCCTCTGTTTCCCCATATAGAACGCCAGGTCTTCCTTGCAACATGGAAGGATATTCCCAATGAAAATGAACTTCAGTTTCAGATTAAGGAATGTCATTTAAATGCTGGTGAGTAATCACTCTAAATCTCATTTTCATCGTAGTAAATCAAGTTAGATATTTGAAATTTTACTCTTTATGTACTTCTTTTTTCCATATCTACCATGTTTCTAATAGTTATGTGGTAGATTATTACTTTCGGAAACTTCTGTTTAAAAACTTGGTGTTTTTTTGTTTTGGTTTGGTTTTTTGAGACAGAGTCTTGCTCTGTTGCCCCTGCTAGAGTGCAGTGGCATCATCATAGCTCACTACAACCTCAAATTTCTGGGCTCAAATGATCCTCCTGCCTCAGCCTCTGAAGTAGCTGGGACTACAGGCACATGCCACCAAACCCGACTAATTTTTCTATTAGCTGTAGAGATGGGTCTTGCTGTTGCTCAGGCTGGTCTCTAACTCCTGACCTCAAGCAATCCTCCCACCTCAGCCTCCCAAAGTGCTAGGATTACAGGTGTGTATGTTTTGATGTAGATACTATATTACTTAAAAGCTGTAACAGATTTAAGAAACAAACAACAGTTGATCTATCTTCCCAAATCTTCAGTAGTTGAAGATATATTAGTCACGTTACTTAAACATCTTAACTATCTGGGCTTGGGGTTCAGGGTCTCATGCTTGTAATCCTAGCACTTTGGGAGACCAAGGTGGGAGGATCACTCAAGACCAGGAGTTTGAGACCAGCCTGGGCAACATAGCAAGACTGTTTCTCTACAAAAAACTTTTAAAAATAGCCAGGCATGGTGGTGCGTGTAAATAGTCTCAGGAGGCTGGTGCAGGAGGATCACTTGAGCACAGGAGTTCAAGACTGCGGTGAGCTATGATCAGGCCGCTGCACTCCAGCCAGATGACAGAGCAAGACCCTGTCTCTTTGAAAAAAAAATCCTAACTATCAAATAACTGAAGGGGCACTTGAGAATACACATTCTCCTAAAAAGTGAAAGGACAATTTCTTCTTTTAGATCAACCTTTGGTATTGGAGGGTGGCTTTCTTTCTGAGATTCTGTATTTAGAATCCTGTGTTTATAATTAAATAATGCATCATAGTGGATTAAAGCCTAGTTAATAATCTTTTTCTTTACTGCCTTGTGTCAGCTTTCTTATCATGATTCTAACCTCTTCAACCACCATTTAAGAGCCTCAGACCCTTTTGTAGTTAATTTTATTACTATAATGGAACATAGAAGGGATATCCTAAGAGGAGAAACAATAGCAGCTATCAGTCCTGAGGGCTTTGGTTTCCCTGAAGTATTCCTCAGGAGTAGAAGAAGTCCTAAGCTATTCAGTCTTGCCTTTTTTTCTAGTCAGAGTCAGTTTGTTTGTGTCTCTCTCAATACAAGGCTTCATAAGTTTAAGTGAAAGTGAGCCTTGGTGCCTCCATACACTGGTGTTTCTCATAAGGGGTTTTTTGCATGTGGCCATCCTCTCATTGCAGCTGGAGCCTAGCTTCGAGGGAAAAAGGTAATATGTCAGTACAGAAAGAGGGGAAAAAACCAAAACACTGCCATCTCATTCTAACTTTTCATTTTTAATTTTAGTTTTTAGGGCTATATGTTGTATTGATCTTCTATGTTTAGATGAATCTTTTCTTATAGGGCTTTTGAAAAACCCAGCAGGATAGTGATCAGCTTCTTCTCGTGATACCTCTTTTAAATGTGATGATTCTGTAGGCCCTTTCTGAGACATTCAGGGGCTGAAATCCTGCTTGAACCCTCAGAAATAAAAGACCAACAGACTGGCATCTTTACACATAGAACCTTCAGAGAGGCATTTGCCTCTGATAGTGACTGTCTAACATCTCCTGAGCCCTTGGAGAGTTGTTTGAGGGAGAATCTTCTATAATTTCCGTCATAATAAGTAGATCATTGATTCTCCTTATTTTGTGCCATACTATTTATTTATTTATTTATTTTATTTTATTTTATTTTATTTTTTGAGTCAGAGTCTTACTCTGTTGCCCAGGCTAGAGTGCCGTGGCATCAGCCTAGCTCACAGCAATCTCAAACTCCTGGGCTCAAGCAATCCTTCTGCCTCAGCCTCCCCAGTAGCTGGGACTACAGGCATATGCTACCATCCCTGGCTAATTTTTTCTATATATTTTTAGTTGACCAATTAATTTCTTTCTATCTTTAGTAGAGGCAGGGTCTCACTCTTGCTCAGGCTGGTATTTTGTGCCATACTCTAAGTAGTTGATACTGTCACCTGTCCCTCTCATTGAGGCTCACTGGTCAGTTACTGGAACTTCATTTGGTGAGTACAGGAGCTTGGGCAGCTTTCCACAGTATAAGCTGTTCTTCAGCAAGCCTTCAGGTACAGAATCCACAGTGGCTGGTGGTAAGAAGCAAAGTAGATCCTGTTAGAGAAACAGCTTCTATAACCAGCTTGGAAGAGACCAGACCCCTGGTTATAGCCACCTTCCATGGTAGTTAATCCAGTGGCAACATTTCAAATAATTTGTTCCTAAGAACGCTTGCCAACTCAAAAAAAAAAAAAAGTGTTCTGTGATCAATTAAAGTTGAAATATACAATGTATGATATGCCTGTCTTAGAAGTCACCATTGCACATTAGCACACTAAAAGCTCTGAGAAGTCCTACATTGAAGAATCCCATTTAACTCAGTGTTAATGGAATTTATTTGACTGTGGAATTTAAAAGCACAAAATGCTTATTATTAACATCCTGTGGACCACCAGTGTTCCTTGAACACCATCTGGGAAACTCTGGCCTACAGAGAGCAAGAGGTAGACCAGAGTAATTGGAAAGCAAGTTTGGTTTCAGAGGTGTCTAGTATGAAAGGGACATGTTTTTTCATAAAAGAAAGTGGAAGTTTGGGTAACAGAGGACTTTAGTCTGACCTGCCAAAATAAAGAAAGAAAAGATTCCCCCTGCTTTCATATTACAGTTTTGAACTCTTATTGCACCTTGGTGTATGCTTGTGATCTTGCCAAAGAGGAAATATCTGGCCTGTCTCCCAGTGGGGCTGTGTCCTCTGATGTAGTTTCTCAGAGCAAATTCCATTTTGATCAATTCTGCCATGGCCTCACGCCAGTCCCTCCTGTCTTTGGTGCTCCAAATACAAATGAATCAGATTTCTAGTGACAGACTGCTCTGTGGCTGCATAGCACATGGAACAAGGGAAAAACAGCCACTTCATTTTCTCCTGGAGCCCAAGGCCATCATTTTCTCACACTAAATCACTGCTACTCTTGCAAGACTACTTCCTACAACTAACCCTTTCCAGCTCTTCCTTTGATTCCATCTCAAGATCTGGAGCGCCCTGGCCTTTACATTTCCTTCCAGTCTTGAGGACTCTATTAACATGACTGCTTTCAGGTTTAGTGCCTTCTGATTCAACACCCTGGGTCTAGCTGAGAGCTAAAAATATCATTCTTTCCAGCTGATCTGCCCTAATCACAATAGCACCAACACTTTAAATAGCTTCTCTGTGCTCGCATAGACATTTGACAGATGGAGTCAGCACTCTGAGGGCTACAGGAAGTCACAGGCTTAAAGGACGTAACAAACTAGCATTGAGCTTTTACTTTTGCACTTTATTCTCTTTCTAGAGAATAAAAAAGAAACTCTCTTCCCAAATCTTAATAATTAATCAGATCTTAATAGAAAAGTATATATGATGGTGTGCTTATGGTGCCACTAGTTGTATAAGTATTAGCACATGTTAGAAAGGTGCTAATGGGCAGGACTCATTTCTGTGGACATCAAGAGATCTCTATGAATCTGTTTTGCATCTTACCATTACAGCTGCATTTGGGATTAGTATATATCTGGGACAACTATCATAAATAGATAAGTAGTAGTTGCATCTCCAGTCATATCCAGAAAGGAATCTTTGCTCCAAGCAGTTCTATAAAATGTATTGTTAGTTTATTATATTCTAAAAAACACGATATATCTGTTTTCACCAGTTAGATACTGTAGTGAACAATGAATATGTCTTCTGGCATGGGGACTAAGTGAGGGTGAATTCTATTTCTTTGTTTTATTGTTGCTCTCCCTGTCCTTTGGCACATTTCAAAAATGGAAATTCTTTCCTGGCCAACACATAAGTATGGTTTGTTTGCTCAAATGGTAAAAAGTGTTCTTTTCAGCAGTCATTTGGTTTTGAACTTACTAATGAATACCACAATGGGGCTCCCCTTTCCACTCTCTGAGTACCTACTCCACCCTATTGCTGCCAGATGAGGTGTGACCTTAGCTAAAGTAGAAAGATGAAGGAAGGAAAATCATGTCCATACTTTTTAAGAATTCAGGCTCTAGATCCAAAAAGCCAAATTCATGAAAGAATACAAATAAACCAGAAGAAATCACATCTTGAAGCAAGTATAATAGCATTTGAATTTTTTTTTTTTTTTTTTAACTCTCTGCTTTGGGGCAGATCTCAGTGTCTTATGCCTCAGGTGATATCATATTTTCTTATTTTTCTTTCTTTCTTTTTTATTTTTTTCTTTTCTGCCAAACACAAAGCTTTACAACATTCACATGTGTTTTAGAAAACAAAGAACTATGATGTCTTGTCAAGAATTCCATTCCAGTCGGTCTGGGGAGCTTCCTTATGTCTGGCTCCCGTGGTCATTTTTAATAAGTACATTTAGCAGAGTCTGATTACTCTGCAATCTATAAATCCTCAAACTCAATCCTAATATCTAAAATGTATAAAAACTGATTCACACATACTAATGTTATAGAACACTCCCTCTATTCAGTCTTCTGGTAAAAGTCACAATCAGCCATTCAGTAGGAGCAGAGCCAGGTTCTTGGCCAGGACAGTTACAGATGTATTAAAGTTACATACATTGAACTGGCTTATTCTTCCTGGCTGTTTGCCATGTTTTGTAATTCTACAACGAGTGTGTGTGTGTGTGTATCTGTCATCTCTTACATAGCTGGTGAAATAATCATGACAAGTCTATAGGAATCTGGGCCTTGCTATATTGATAATCTAGACCATGTTTGTACCTATGCAACAAGGTGGCTCTTCAAGAAAGGTTCCTTACAGTGTGTTTTGTTTTCCTGGGAAATGGACAAGAGCCTTGAAAGTTGGGAATGGCTTTTATAACTTAAAGCAAGCCCCTGTGTGTTAGAGGCAATCCTTTCAAAAGGCATTAGCCAAACTCCAGCTGGTGATGTTGCCTAGCAACCCAGTCAGAGCTGCAAGAGCCCTTCACTGTGGGAACCAAGGTGATAGTCAGAACTGCCTAACTCCCCACAAGGTGATTTAAAAGCATATTGAGGCCCCTCGTCCAGCAGTGTTGTATGTAACTACCCTGAGATACATTTATTGGCTCCTCAAATAGAGCCATTTCTTAAGTTATTACTTTTGTGATGTTATTAATGAAAACTTTGGAAACAAAAAAGGGAAAATTAAGTAATAAGTAAGTGTAGTAAAAATGTTTCATGAAGTGGGGGCCTTAGTGCTTCCTCCCGGAGCTGTCACTGGTTTGAATGTAGAAGAAAAACATCAGGATGAGAACTACCTCTAAAAGTAGCTCACATCTAAGTAGATGGTTTTTAATGTCTGTGGCATTATGTGAATATTGGTATCTCTAACATCTCTCAGAGGCTTATTCAACAGATACTGATCACAGAAATGTGTTGTGTCCCAGATACTGTGGGAAGCACGGTGATGAAAACCTCCAGGATGCCCGTGCTCAGAGAGCTTAGCATTGAGGGGAGTAGAAAGACCGTCCATCATGGCAGCCTTTTTCTAGAGAGCACAATAGAATATGACAGATTTTTATGTGGGGAGAATCTAGTTCCTGAAGTAGGCCTGAGTAATTTGAATTCTCTCGTTAGAAATGAATATAATAGTCCACAAAAAAGCAGTGTTTGTCATCTCTATTCTTAAAGTTTCTCTGATGCTACAACATCTCACAAAGAGGGAAAAATTGACCTTCAATTCTGGAACATCATGTCTTTTTGATGCTGTAGTCACAAGGAAGAGCTGAAACAGCAACCTGTTCTTACCCCGAGTTGCAGACTAGGAAGCCTTCCATCATGACCAGCAACTGGGATTTCGGGACCTAGCACAATCACTTTTGTACAACTTCAGTCTCTTCTGAAAGTCTTTGGTTGAAACTTGTTTCATTATTATTTTGGAGAATCCTTTCCCTAAAGGCTTTAGAAATCATTTGCCTGCTTTTATTTAAAAAATCTTAAATATCTAGGTTAATAAATTTGACATACAGTTGATTTCTGCAACTCTGCCCCTTTCTGATGTTGACAGTTGAGGCCAAAGTGGCTCACAGTGAAGTAGTAGTGACTTGGGAAGTATTGCTATGGATTTGCTCATCAGTCTGTGTGTCCGCGTTGATTTGGGACCAACATTCCAGAAATGAATATCAATATGACAGTCACTGTGGCACACTGTTTCTGTCTTTGTCCTCTTTAGAGCCTTTTTAGCTATCTAGCACATACTGAGATTACCAGCTCTTTAGGCCCAACTATTTCATAATCTTCACAGGTAACTCTTGCACTAATGCATAGTTGTACCTTAGTCTGTTTTCTGTCCTGAAATCTGATAGGCAGGCACTTCATGAGCTTGTTCTGCACCTTTTGCTATTTATTGTATAGGAAAACGGCTTTCTGAAAGGTACACACGTACACGTGGTGGTACTTATCAGGGAATGTGAGCACATGTGGCTCAGAAGGATGTCAGAAAGAGAGTCAGCATGCACTTGTTTGAGATTTTAACTGAAGTTGTTGGATTTTGAATCTGTATTTCTAGACACTGTTTCCAGCAAGTTGCAAAACAACAATGTTTATACTATTGCCAAGAGGAATGTGGAAGGGCAGGACATGCTATACCAATCCCTGAAGCTCACTAATGGCATTTGGATTTTGGCTGAGCTACGTATCCAGCCAGGAAACCCCAATTATACGGTAAGTCCCTTCTCACAGTGGATTAGAGGAGGGAGGTAAGAGCCCTTTCCTTTTTTCTTAGCACCCTGGAAAGACCTGGAGGGAGGTGCTTCAGACCTGACATATGCAAAACAAGCAGTCCATGAAGAAGTCCCTATATCAGTGGACCTCCTCTCTGCAGTGTCTGCCCTATCCCACACTCATGGTACCTCTGGCAGCAGGGATTTCTTCAAATCCATCCCTCCCCCTGGTACATACAAAATAGCTAACAAAACTTGGCAACTTCATCCTCAGTATCAGTTAATATTTATCTACCATACCTGTGCATGCAGTACTAATAACAAGCTACTGAGGCGATTGTTTATATAGCCAATTTCAAGAAGACTTTTCTTGCTTTTGGAGTTTGTGACCTAAGGATATCATAAACACCTGAGCCTTTTTTTAGCAGCATTGTATGAAATGGAATGTTTGTTGTGAAAGGTAAGGCAAAAATGGAACATACCTTTGGCAGCCTGTAAAAGGGGACTTTGGTCTGGAAAACTTTTGTCAGTATGGCACTGAACTGCAGTAAAAATTTTGGCTGTACTTTATAGGGCAGAAGCAGTTGCTTTGTTAAACAGTGAAGGTTGAGACCCAAGCACAGGGCATTTGTTTGCTGGTGAAAAATGTGGTTGCCTGATAGGACGCTGCTTGTCAATTGCATTTTGAAAAGTAAAAGAAAAACCCTTGGGATGGGTTTTTTATAGGCTGTTTAATTCCGAGGAAGCTGAGTAGTCAGTAGATTAAGGGAGAGCCTTTTAGCCTTTTAGCTGAGAAAAGCCTGTGACCCCATTCTTTAATTTTGACAGCTGTTTTCACTAGCATATATCAAGGGAATAGTACCACCCAGAACTGAAAATTGGAAAATTCTTGGTGTTTTCCCCACTAGTTCTCTCCCCTGAAGTAAGTTAGAATAGCGCGCGCACATGTGCGCGCAAGAGAGAGAGAGAGAGAGACCGACCAATCAAGTTAAACGCCCAAGCATTTGTGAGCTAGGAAACTCCAGGCTTCCCCCATAAAATGTACACTCCTGCCTCCTTCCACCTCCTCTACCACCAATCTTTTGTCTTTTTTAAGGGGAGAGTAACCTACCCTGTTATTTATCTTGAATTCTCCAAGAAAGGAAAACCCCTCTGTGCTGTCCCTGGTGGGACAGGTTTTCACTATAAAATCAAGGTCTTGCAGAACAAGTCGATGTGCCTGGTAGTCCCAGCTACTTGGGAGGCTGAAGCAGGAGGATTGCTCAAACCCAGGAGTTTCAGAACAGCCTGGGCAACATAGCAAGACCCCTATCTAAATTATATTTTTTTAAAAGGGAAAAAACTCCATTTACTTCCCTAGAAATTTGCTAAAAGTTTGTATATATGTGTGTGTTTGTATTTACCATCCATTATTTTATTGTATACATTCTTCCATGCCAGCTAGGTTAAAGAAGCATGATTTACTCCCAGGTTCCAGATAAGGAAACCATGGCTAAGAATGATTAGTGACTTGTTCAAGACCATGTAATTTGTCGGTAGGTGAGTTGTGTTTAGAATTGAGGTATTTCTTGACATTTCCTACACCGTATTATTTATTTTGAGAAGGGCCTTTTAATATCACTATCCTAAACATAGTGTGTAAAAATGTTTTATAACATTTTATTTTAAAATATTGAAGACTTAAAAGTTTTTAAAGTGGAACAGAGAGTTCCTATGTATCTTTCACCCAGTTTTCCCCATTGATACATTTTCAAAACTAGGAAATAGGTATTGGTACAATACAATCAACTAAACTGTAGGCCTTATTCAGATTTTACCGGTTTTTACATTACTTTTTTTGGTTTTGATTGATTGGTATGTAGTACTGTGAAATCTTATCACACATATTGTTTTTTTTATAAACACTACTACAGCCTGGACACACTGTTGCATCACCACAAAAAATAAAAAGTCCCTCTTGCTATCACTTTATCCCTTTATAGTTAGACTCTCACCCCAGGCAGCTACTATAATTATGGCGTTTAGAATGTTACATAAATTCATATACTATGTATCCTTTTGAGATTGTTTTTTGCATTCAGCATAATACCCTTGACATCCTTCCAAGTTGTTACATGTATCCATAGTTTGTTCTTTTTTATGACCAAATAATAGTACATGATATGCATGTACCACAGTTTCTCCATTCACCCATTAAACAACATTCCCTGGTCTCCCATGTTTTTTTAAAAAAAATTATTTTGAGATAATTGTAGGTTCACATGCAGTTATAATAAGTTATACGATGAGCTCTTCCCACCAAGCAGCCTGAGGTGATCTCTCAAAATCATCTTTATTCACTTGACCCAGAAAACTCCACAAAAATCATGTAAATCAAGGGGTTCAAATATTCATGTCCTCTTTTAGAACACCCAAGGAACTGCCTGAGCCATCAAAGGTATGCATATCCAAAAGCCACCAAGTATCTGGAAGATAGCACTGTGTAGAAGCAGGATGTATTATTCCTTTCAAATGTATTGCAGTGGTGGCGTTGGTAGGTGTGCCTAAGCTAAACAGTGAGGCTGACCACAGGGTCTGTGGCCCAAAAGAGTGCTGAGTTTTTGCTGCACTTGCTTAAAAATGCAGAGAGCAAGGCTGGACACAGTGGCTCACGCCTGTAATCCTAGCTCTCTGGGAGGCCGAAGCGGGAGGATAGCTTGAGGTCAGGAGTTTGAGGCCAGCCTGAGCAAGAGCGAAACACTGTCTCTACCATAAATAGAGAGAAATTAATTGGCCAACTAATATATATAGAAAAAATTAGCCGGGCATGGTGGTGCATGCCTGTAGTCCCAGCTACTCGGGAGGCTGAGGCAGTAGGATCGCTGGAGCCCAGGAGTTTGAGGTTGCTGTAAGCTAGGCTGACGCCAGAGCACTCACTCTACCTGGGCAACAAAGCGAGACTCTGTCTCAAAAAAAAAAAAAAAAATCAGAGAGCAATGCTGAACTTAAGGGTTTGGATGTAGATTCTCTGGTCATTGGGCACTTCCAAGTGAGCAAAGCCCCAAGATGTGGTACCATACTTACAGAGCTTATGGTTGGATTAACCCATAAGTGAACTACCCTGCCACATTGAGATGATCCTTTTACTAAAAAAGAATAAACTTTCTTAAACTAGAAGAGAAGGTTGCATAGAAGAAAAAGACATCCTAGAAGAAACTGAAGAAATAAAAATTTATGGCCTGGGAATGAATTCAGCATAAAGTAAATTCAAATAAAGGTTAAGAAAAAAAGAATACAATGAGAGCCTGTCCTTATGGTATCCTTTTTAGCAATACCCACCTTCCTTCTTCCCCCATATTTTTAAATGGTCAATTTGTTCATCCCCTTTTCTAGTCTCCATCCATCTGGTGACTAGATTCCCTCTGCCCACAGTATCATCTCAATCTTCCGTCACAGCACTGATGTAGGTGTCTAATCCATTCCCCTAAGTGGCACTCCAGCCTCTAAAATCATTCAGATCCATTCCCTTCCTTCCATCACCCTAAATGCTAATCTGATTGATCTGATCTCAGCTAGGTATTAAGGAGGAAAGACATCTGGTTGACCCAATACTTCAGGCGAAGATCTGATCGTCTCCTAGTCTCCTAAAAGACACTGATAAAGCACTTCCCCCCAACCCCAATCCTTACCAATTTCATTAAGAAGCTCTATAAGGGTGTCCTATAAGGGTGAGGCTACATCTCTGTAAGTACATAAGTCTTACCTGAAAAGATAACTTGTCCCAGGTGAGGAAGCATATGTTCCAGACTGTACACCAGAAGTAGTTGTGTAAGCCCTTAGCTTTAATGAGGCAGGACCGGTGACTCTTCTGCCCTTGGTGTGTCTAGATGGGCAGCATTCCTGAGTGGTTGATGTTAAAGATGTGTCACATAAGCATGATAGCAGTTCGAAAGTTAAGACCCACGGAAGGCCTCTTTTCCCCTAGGAGCCATACAAAATGAGACCCAGAGTTCTAGCTGTATTTAACAAACTTGACCCTTTGTTAAAGGTTGGAATGGAGGTGGAAATGAGGGCTGGGGATATTAGAGTCCAGAGAAAGGGAAAGGTTCTTCCCCTCTTCCAGAGAGCAGCTGTAATGCTCAGAGTTTAAGTCTGCTCAGTCCATGCCTCCTCACCCAGTGCCAACCTTGGCAGTTTCGGCTTTTGTCAAAGAAGGCAATATTTCCTTATTAGTCATGAATAAAAAATGAGGCCAGGTGCAGTGTCTCTCAAAGTAACCCCAGCATTTTGGGAGGCTGAGGCTGGAGGATTGTTCGAGCCCAGGAGTTCAAGCCTATAGGGAGCTGTGAGCTGTTATCCCACCACTGGATGACAGCCAGACTCTGTCTCAAGGGGGGAAAAAAGACGGGGCATGGTGGCTCATGCCTCTAATCCTAGCACTCTGGGAGGCCAAGACGGGAGAGAATTGCTTGACGTCAGGAGTTCAAGACCAGCCTGAGCAAGAGAAAGACCCTGTCTCAAAAGACCCAAAAATAGAATAAAATTAGCCAGGCCTTGTGGTGAGCACCTGTAGTGCCAGCTACTCGGGAGGCTGAGGCAGGAGGATTGGTTGAGCCCAGGAGTTTGAGGTTGCAGTGAGCTATGATGATGACACTACACTCTAGTGTGGGGCAACAGAGCAAGACTCTCTCTCAAAAAAAAAAAAAAAAGACTTCCAGCTGGTAGGACTTCAAGTATTGTTACAAAGATGTGAAAACATACAGGACAGCATTTTGGGGGAGAGGAACTACCCCTCTTTAGTCTGAGAGTTGACTCCCTTAAGCTGTTGTTTCTCATTTTAGCTTCCTTTCCTCCTCCTCCTCTTTTGAACCCACATAGTCTCCCACTAGAATTTTCCATGGCATTGGCAGAGAAGGCTGTCGAGGAGGAGGAGGTACAAGAATTGCATCTATAGGGAGTTTAAAAGTCAGGGAAATGCCTAAAGCTGCAACTTGGCCCAAAGTTGAAAGCTGTTGTCTATGTATATTTATATTCTTAAATTAGTTGCTTGGGTGTTTGTTTGTTTGTTTGTTTGTTTGTTTGTTTTACACTTATCAGAATTGTCTTCCTGGCTAATATCAAGCAGCAGTTTTAGAAATCCCTGAGAGATTGAATATTAAAGCTGTAAATAAATATAGAGTATCTTTTGGTATTCTTTTGTTTTGGGCATTTTTAAATTTAACTGTTAACTTCTAGAATTTTGGTTTTTCAGAAAATTTGGGGTTGGCTGGGCGCGGTGGCTCACGCCTGTAATCCTAGCTCTCTGGGAGGCCGAGGTGGGCGGTTGCTCGAGGTCAGGAGTTAAAACCAGCCTGAGCAAGAGCGGAACCCGTCTCTACTATAATAGAAAGAAATTAATTGGCCAATAATATATATAGAAAAAATTAGCCGCAGGTGGCCATGCCTGTAGTCCCAGCTACTCGGGAGGCTGAGCAGAAGGATTGCTTGAGCCAGGAGTTTGAGGTGCTGTGAGCTAGGGCTGACACCAGGCACTCATCCTACCATGGACAACAAGAGGTGAGACTCTGTTCAAAAAAAAAAAAAAAAGAAAATTTGGGGTTGAATTCTTGATCTTTTTCTCAAAGATATTATCACTTTTCATACTATGTTAAATTGTCCATGGTCTCAAGAGAATAAAGAGGTAAAGTAGTCTAAAATCTTACGGTGATATATTGTTTAAGACAACTTCTGTTATCTATCCTAATAAACAAGAGCAGTGATGTCAGTTATACAAAAAAATTTTCTGGTTCTAGAATGTATTATACATGTTTATAGTATTGTTAATATTTTCCTAATCTAATACAACTAAGCAGTCCAAATCTGGATTTAAAATATCCTTATTGACTCACAAAGTGAAATTCTTAATATTCAGATCTTTTTAATATTGATGTTTAATTTGGTCATTGTTAGACTAAAAGAAGAGGTGATGGTGGAGGAGTACAGTGGTATCAGAAATATCTGATTTGCCTGTCTGAAGAGGCAGAAAATAAAAGATTGACATGAATTGTGGTTGGGTTGTACTAAGTAAATGTCTTTTTGTCTTAGTTCTTGTCTTCCCTCAAGGGTATATACTCTCCTTATTACGATACAGAAAGGACTAGTACCTTGGATCCACCTGCCTTATGTTTTTATTTTACTTGGTTGTACATCCTCCTAAAATTGTTACTGAGATATAACCATCCTGGTCAGATTGAAACTGAGGCAGGCAGCTGAAATGACCATCCCTGAGTTAAGGGTTTTAGCCCTCCCCTCTCATTTGGTAACAATCCCCATAACTCTTAGCAAAGCATTAAGCAGCTGTTCCATCTACAGTCAGAGGCTTTGATGTTTTTAGTGTGGATTATTTCCTAGTCTCATAGACCCACATAGAATGTAGGTAGAAACAGCACGACTTGACGTTGATTAAATTGAAATTCTAAAACCCGCAGTATCTGTTAACATCATCTGATCTCTTTGTTTGGCTACTCCAGTGACAGAAGTTCCTCTCTCATGTGTCAGAAGTTTTATTGAACTGAGTACTTGGATACCTTTAGAGTTAATACCAACCTCTGTGCTAATCTTCCATTTCCTTTTCTTCCTAACAGCTGTCACTGAAGTGTAGAGCTCCTGAAGTCTCTCAGTACATCTACCAGGTCTACGACAGCATTTTGAAAAACTAATAGACTGGTCCAGTACCCTCCAGTCACCCTGGGATCGGTGCAAGCCAAGAACTCTTAACTGGAAGAAACTGTATTGCTGTGTAGAATAGGAACCGAAACACACTGAGGCCACCCACCAAGGTAGTGACTAGTCTAACCTGTGCTAATGTTAGGGCACAACCTGTTGGATAGTTTTAGCTTCCTGTGAACATTTGTAACCACTGCTTCAATCACCTCCCACCTCTTGCCACCCGTTGCTGCTATCTGTCCTTACTTGTGGGCTTCTCCATGCTATGCCAATGACTGGCTTTTTCTACACCCTCTTTTGAGTGTAGTTTGATATTTTGTAATCGAGAGCTCATTTCAAGAGCAGAAAAAGACAACAAATATTAAAGCAAGGAAAAGTGTCACTGAAACATAAACTGCACTTTATTGTTTTATATTTTTGTACATATGAGAAATTGAGGGAGTAATGTAACCAGTAGAAAGTGTTAAAACAACGGACTGTCATTAACCACATAGTCCTGGAGAAAGAGATGCAGTTACCTGCCCTGCCCTTTTATGGGTTCTCTTATCTGTGGCAACCTTGTCCCTGGCCATTTGGATTTCCCCTTTTTTTCTTTCTGTGCAAACTCCTTGTCCTTGGCCAAGCCTTCTTGCTGCCTCCCATTCCATATCATCATCTCATTTGATCGCTCTGCAGTTGGGCACGGGGATCTTCCTTGAACGACATTTCAGGGTGCAGGAAGCACAGGGCCTGTCAGAACCAAAGCTGAGAGAAGTTACAACTTACTACATTCCTTTCCCCTGAACCAACCCACTAATAACACTGATGAAGGAGTTTGAGTAGAGATGGGAAACAGGAACCAAAATGCCATCCAACCCCTCACCCCCTTCTCTGTGTTTGTTAGGTCCAATTCAGATCTAAAGTCACAGAGTTTTAGAATTGAAACAGAGTAATAACTTACCCAACCATGTTTTTCTGTGAAGAAAAAGGATAAAAGGCAAGTTACTGCCCAGCCTGTCAGCTGTTAAGCAGCAGAGCTAGACTGAGTCTCCTAAACCCTCATCACTGGGGTTTTCACTGCAGGACTGTCTCATTGTTTTTCCCTCAATGCCTTCTCCTGCCTTTTCTGTACCTGCTTTGCAGCTCTTCACATCTCCATACTGATTGGGGCACCCCAGTCATTGGCATCAGGTGGCCGCAGAGTATCTTCTCAGTTACTTGAAGGTAAATCGAGATGCCAGAATGAAGGAGTAGCTGATGTTCCCCAGTGCTTCTGGAGCCACAGTTCTTGAGGCCAGCAGGGTGGGTGCAGAGATGAAGTGAGCTTAGAGATGTCGAAAATTCTCTTTATCCCTTCAGCTCTCTGATCTGCTCTTTATTCATGTTACTTAGACTTCAAGGCAAATTAAGAACATCCCAGAGGGTCAAGCAGTTCTTGTCATCTCTGAAAAGACGGGGGATGTGAAATCTCTACCCTCCTCCCCAACACATTGGATATGATTTGTCAAAGAACGCTTTGTGCCCAAAACAGCAACCTGTTTAGCCGTGTGCACACTGTTTGATCTGTGGGCACTTGTTGCATCACCTGGCACGCAGTATTCAGGGCCCTTGACTAAGACTGCTCTTCTCAAATGCCCCTGCTCAAATCAGAGGCCTCATGTTGGACTCAGATCGAACTCACTGGACACAGAGAAGGAATTGTGGAAAACGAGCAAAAACTACCCCCCAGACCTGTCTGAAATGACCCTGCTTCATACCAGTTGCAAAGCTTGGGGAGAGTGGGTCCTCCAAAGCTGTTTCTTAAACTTTGAGAATGTCCAAGAGGAGAAATACTGGGGTTGGGGGGGCAGGGAATATGCCCCTCACTCACCGCCCCTGAGGCGCGTGGGCAATAGGAAGTAGCACAGGACTGTGTTGGAGGCGGACAGTTTGGTGATGTGTGGGTGGAAAAGCAGGTTGATAAAGTTCCCTTGTTGGGGTTCATTCATGGAGTTAGTTGGATACAAGCAGTGAAGAAGGTTCACACTACAAATACTGTGTTCTCATCTCAAAGCAAACTAGTTCCAGAAGGAAGAGAATGTCAGGGCAAGCATATAACACAATTTTGTACCAGGATATGTCCCTCAACCCCTGAAACTAGGCTTCTCTCAGCCTCCCCACCAGTGATGGATGGCAGCTACTGTTCTCAGCTGACGTGACTGAGCCAATCCATGAACTCTCTACTTCCTGGGGAGGCTGCCTCCCATTGCATCCCTGAGCAGAGGGAGGGAAGGGTTCTACTTGACAGAGAAGGACCTCTGTCCTGAAGAGACAGGATCCATTGCCTCCACCACAGCTTCCCTTTTGGCCCATTGCAAGCTTGGCCACACTGGGGGAGCAGGGTGGAGGTTGCCATGTATCCCCCTCTCCTCCACCTGAGTATCTTCGTACATCAGCTGGTATCATACAAAGGGCAAGGGAAGCAAACACCCAGAACTCTTGCTGGTCAGAGATTCCCTGAGTGTCTGTCCTCTCCCAAGCCAGTTCCATGTGTCTGTGTTGTGAAGCGTGGGACTCTGGAGAGAATGGGGGAGGGGGGAGGGATAAATGTTGCCCTAAGAATGCTTCTCGTTCTTCTGTTCTTGTTGGGATCTGTTCTTGGGGAGGGTGGGGGCTGGGGGAAGCTTGACCTTGTGTCTTCGTCAATAAACTCTCATTTACACAAAATGAAGTTTGTGGTATGTGCTTTGTTCCCAGAATTGGCACTCTAGGATAAAATACAGCTGACCAGGGGAGGGACAGAGCATTAATAACCACTGTATTAAAACTTTTCTGTTTGACTGCCCTAGCCCTCCCAGGGATTCAACCAGATGAAATTAAGATTGACTCGAGGAAGAATCATATATCTCTTGGAGGCTCCTGTTGACCAAGCCTCAAACCACCACCACCACAGGCATCTCTCTGCAAGCAGGGGAGCGCTCAGAGGAGCCAATCTGTCTTTCCTGGCAGGTCTCCTGTGGGGAGGGCCCAGGCAGATGGTCCCAAGGGCACTGGCAGCAGCTTTTTTCTGATCTGTGGGTCAGCAGCCAGCCAGCAGGCGTCTCATTTATTTCTCAATTTACAAAAGCCTTCAGACCTGGGCTTAGAACTTGCATAGTCCCAACCAGATAAAGCTGCCTGAGGAGTTCAAGTCTAGTGACCTGCATTTGTGTTGCGGGGGCACAAGACCAAGACAGGGCCCTGCCCCTGTGTTCTGAGGAGCTGACAGCTGCTGAAATCTCCCCCAGCCTGGAGTGGGGGAAAGAGGGTGGACTGAGGGACCTAATGCCAAGAGTCCCTGAACCTCTCTCACCACTAGAGTGTAGGTAAAACGCTCTGCACAGTGCTCAGCACCAAGTAGGTGCTCAGAAATAGTAGCTGCCTTTTGTCCAAACACCATGAACAAACTGCCTTTGGCAGCTAGGAACTTTGTGGTCGTCTCCATGTTGCCAGGCTACAGTTAGCCCAAGCTGTAATAGAAATTACATTTGGGGAGGAGTGGGGTCAGGGTCAGAGATAGGCACAGGGGCCTTACTGAGATCTAACTGGGGTCACCACTTAAAGAGTGATGTCGGTTTGGGCAAAGAAAGTCCCTAGGTAGAGGCTCTCAACTGTTAGGTGCACTCTAATATTACCCGGAGAGCTTTCACAAAAAGAGTGATGGTTCTGTTCAATCAGTCTGAGATGGGACCTTGGGGAATCTGCATTTTTAAAAACTCCCCAGGCATTTCTAATATGCAGCCAGGGTAAAAAAATCACTGCCAGAGAGAGGCTCACACTTTTTCACCTACTTCCTCTTCTAAAGTAATACTGGTGTTCTGTGGCAGTTGAAAAATGGTTAAAGCACTTGCATGCACATGATACCTGCCTATTCCCTTGCCTGTCTTGTGAATTTAATATCCCCACATCTAACTCCCTCTCTGTGTCCTTCCTGCTACACTACGGCTTCCTCCTTCATTCCACTGCAGACTTCTGTAATAGGCCACATCCTGCTGTTGGCCACAGCTAGCCTTTTGAACCCCCAGGATACCAGTACGTTCAGGGCACACTGCCCCAGACTTTCACCTGAGGTGGCACTGTCCTCCTCTGCCCCTAGAGTGGCAACTAGGAAGTTCTGAGATCTCAGGTATGTTGTTTCTGAGGTCAGTAAACAGCTGAGGACTCCCAGGTTTGGGCCTTCCTACTCCCACTTCCTGCATTAATGCTTTTTCTGATTTTACTTGGACCCAGATTTCTTTTCCCTGCCACCCCCAGCTCCAGGAGGCAAGAGCCTGTTTATTTTAATACCTGGTATGGCACTTGAAAAAGATCACACCTCCCCCGTTGTTATCCATTTCTATCTCCTGAACACTAATCCTAGAATCCCAACCAGCCCCCAGACATGTTATTAGCAACAAGGATGTTTCTTGAAAAGTTTCCGAGTTGGCTCCAAACTTGCCATCTCAGTTTCTCATTTAGCTTTTGCCCTGCCGTGCTTGATGCTGCCAACAAGGGGAAGGCTAATTTGGGGGTTGGTTAGACCCAGATTCTCAGAGAAGTGGCTTTCAAGGGCTTAGTTTCCAGGAGCATCGTTTCGAGATAAGACTGCCATTTCTGCGCTCCTTTCTCCTTTGGGCAGGGCCCCAGCGCTCTGGGGCTGAGAGAACTCCATTCACCCCACTTCTCCGACTGTGTAGGTGTTAGCGGGTGATGCTCAAGTCTAGCCTCTGGCTTTCCCTCCCTTGTTTCATTCACTTTCCACGTACTGTCAGAGACTCCAGGTCTGGCCAAGCAGCCTCAGAAAGCTCAGCGGGGTCCTCGGCTATGCTGAAGCAAGGACAGAGGTAATCCGACTTCACGTTTGTGCCTCAGCTTCTGCAGGTGGGCTCACGAGTCTGCTTCCCTGGGACCTGTGCTGGCAGCTCAGCCATCAGGCCTCCTCAGCGCATCCAGACCCGCCTGGGGCTCAAGGTCAAGACAGACCCAAGGACCAGGGCCTCTCAGACCTTTCCACAAAGGTAATCCTAGTGATGGAGGAACATGAACAGGCCCCTAAGAGTGTGTGTTCTTAGCCCAAAGTGACTCTCAGCAAACCAAAATGACTTAACTGTTTTCAATTCAAGAAAATTTTCCACTTTATGTAGATACTATCGCTATTAGTTTTCTTAAATAAAAATGATGCTTTGGGTGACCTACCACTGAAGGCCAGTATGAGGTCCCATCATTAGCCTGTGGCTCAGTGTTCCCCTAGTGTAACTGCAAACCTTCTGAGAAGCCTGGCCCCAAGTGTGAGTGTGACCATTGCATGATTTCTTATTTCTAGTCCACATTGGGCTGAAATGGAACCAGAGTAGAGGGCCACAGCCAGGGGGAATGGACATACAGCCTGGGATCCTCCAGCTGGGTAAGGATTAAAGATGTTCAGATTTGGTAGGGCTAAATAATGCCCTAGATGATTTAATCACAGTAAGAGGCTCTTAGTGACCCCATGTAATCCCACAGGGCCAGTTAAAATCTGATTTCTTCCCCGATAAAAATGCTCCAGGAGGCCAAATCCTTCCCAGCCCTTGCTTTTAGCTGCTGCCCTGGCCCTTCTCATACCCCCATCGCAGCCCTCTCGGCCCACCTAGAATAAATGGAACCACTTCCCAAAGTGGAGTTCAACCTCCCCTGGGATGGCTGTGTGTCCCTAAAAAAGACAAGAATAAATGCAGGCCACACACTGAGACTTACTATATGCCAGGCGTTGCCTTAAGGACTTTACACACCTAGGCTCATTAATACCTTGTCAACAACAGTGGAGGGCAGCTAATTATGTCTCCTTTTGATAGATAAGGAAATTGAAGAGTTCAAGTTATTTGCCTTCAGTCACAATAGTAAGTGACAGAGCCAGTATTTAAATCCAGATCTGTCTGATTCTGAAGCCCAGGTTCATGCCCACTATGCTTCCTGTCTGGAAGGAGAGGGAGGGGAGCAATTGGGAAGGTGCCCAAATTGCAGACCCTGAACGAAGCAGGAAAAATGGGTTCCGGGAGGGACCAAGAGTCCACGGTAGTAGAAAGTCTCAGTGGAGGATGCAGGGTCCCAGGAGCAAAAACACTTGGGATATCTCTCAGAGCTCCCTGCTCCTCCTCCCTCCCATGCTGAAGGCTCTAAAATGCAACCTGACCAGGTACTGCTCTGCTTCAAAACGCTTCAGTAAGGCCGGGCCTGGTGGCTCACACCTGTAATCCTAGCACTCTGGGAGGCTGAGGCAGGTGGATCGTTTGAGCTCAGGAGTTTGAGACCAGCCTGAGCAAGAACGAGACCCCCATCTCTACTAAAAATAGAAATTAATTGGCCAACTAAAAAATATATATATAGAAAAAAAAAATTATCTGAGCATGGTAGCACATGCCTGTAGTCCCAGCTACTTGGGAGGCTGATACAGAAGGATCCCTTGAGCCCAGGAAGTTGAGGTTGCTGTGAGCTAGGCTGACACCACGGCACTCTAGCCCAGGCAACACAGTGAGACAGAGTCTCAAAAACAGCAACAACAACAACAACAAAAACGCTTCAATGCCTTCCCATCGAGCTCAGGGCTGGATCCAAACTCCCTATCCTGGCCGTCAGGGCCTTTGTGACCTCACCGTAGCCAACCTCTTGCCCTCTCCTCTCACCATATTTCCAGCCTCAAGAGCTCCTGTCTGGTTCCTGGACTGACTTTGCAAGCCTCTGTCATTGCTCCCTACTTCTTTCACCTACAATCCTGTAATCTCCCTGCACTCAGCCCCCATCTACCTCTCTCAAGGTTGCTTCCTTGAAAGTTGCGCCCTCTGAAGCCTTCACTGATCCTCTAGCGAGTTGACCCACTTCCCCTGCCCTTCCCCAGCGCCTTGACTTTGCACAAAGCATGTTTAAGCGTTGTCTGCCTTTGGTCTCACATTGGACTGTGAGCCTCCTGCCAAGCTCATCAGTGGCTGCACACATAGTGATTCTCAATCTTTGTATTCCACATTTTGCTTTGAAGTAAGACAAGCTACTCAGCCTCTCTCGGCCTCAGCTATCTCATCTGCAAAATGGGGGAAACAGAATCTATCTCTTAGAAGTGTGAGGATTACATTTGAGGATGGAGGGAAAGCTCGTAACATGCTGTCTGGCACAATCAACGTTACTAATTGACGATGAAGTGACATGGATGATGATTGTTTTAGAATAAACACATGGGCGATTTTGCCTGGAATTCTGGCAAATGCTGGTATCTCCTAGTCTGGAGAGAACAGCAGTTTTAGGGGACTGGAGGTCATGCCTTGGCGGGGAATCAGCTTTGCGTTGCACCAGCTGGGTCTGCAGTGAAGGGCGAGAGTGACCACCCTTTGCTCAGTCCCGGGTGGGGGCGGGAGAGGAGCAGAGCCTGGACGTCTCCAACACGCAGCGTGGGGCACACAGGGGGCGCCTGCAGGGAAACTGCCAGGCTGCCTTGTGGAGGTCAGAAGGCAGGCCCGGCAGGGGGGCAAGTGAGGCCAGGAGTCGGAATGAAGCAAAGGCCTTCAGGGCCTTTCTGGTGCCTTTCTTCCGGCTCCTCCAGGTTAGAGATCCATCCTCGAAGGCAGAGTCTGCAGGGGCGTGAAGGTCGAGGCAAGGGACCGAGGGAGGACTGGTCCAGGGCTGTCAGCGAATATGTCAGGCTCAGGGACCCAGCGGAATGCCAGCCCGCCCCCTCCCCCTCCCGCTCTCCGGCGCGAGCGGGCGGCGCGCTCCGGAGGGAGAGCCGGGCTGGAGGTTCTACCCCCTCGGCGGCCCGCACGGCCCCCCCGCGCCCGCCCCGCGCCCGCCCCGCGCGCGCCCCGCCTGGGCAGCCGGGGGCGCCCCCACCTCTCTCCCCCCGGGCGGGGGAGCCGGGGGGCAGCGCCGGAGCCCGGGGGGAGCACAGCCCCGCCGGCCGGCCGGCCAGGGCAGGGGGCAGCTAGGACGGCCCCGGGTAAGCGGCGGGAGGAAGGTCGGCGGGCGGGGCGCGGCGGGCTTGGGTCGGGCCGGGGGCTGGGGTGCGGGGGGGGCGGCCGGGGCGAGGGTCATCCAGGGCGAGGAGGGAGGAGGGGGCTGGCGGGGAAGCGGCGCGGGGCGGCCACGTGAGAGCCGGAGCTGGGGGCGGGGATGCCCGCAAGGTGTTGGAGGCGGAGAGCGAGCTGGGCTCCTGCATCCCCCCAAACTCCTACCAATCAGGTCATGGGGAGCGCAGCATCTTGCGTCGCCCCCCAGCCCACCCCCACGCGAACGTGGTTGGAACAAACAGCTGGCGAACGTGTGACCTGGCCCTTGGGACCCGCGAAGCCCCCACCCTCAGTCAGGGGCAGGGACCCAGGTGTGCAGGCAGAGGGAAGGGGACAGGAACCAGGCTTGGGCCCCTGAGTGTGTGTGTCCCCGGTCTCTTGCCGCGCTGTCTGCAGACTCACTGCAGAGCGCAGGCCTTGGGGAGGGAGCACTCAGGGGCCTGGGCCCTGCTCCTTGGGACAGCCCCCTTCCATCCCCACCCAGCCAGGGGTGTTGGATTAATATATGCTGAGACCCAGGACCTCTGCCTGGGAAGGAGGGGCACGGATCACCTCTGAGTTGGGGACGGGGCCACACTTAGGCCTGGTAAGTTCCAGGAGGCTGGCCCCAGCCTAGGGGCCTCTCTTGCACCCCCTCCCTGGCTCCTGGGCTGTGCCCCGATTTCATTTCCCTGCTGCTCCCCAGGAAGGGCTGGTTTCTAGGCAGAGAGTGTGGTGTCCAGGAGAATCTGTAGGTAGGGTGCATCCTGGAAACCTGAGTTGCCACACCCAGAGAGAGGCCGGGACTCTTGCGTCCCTTGCCCTCTCTTCCTCCCCCAGGACTGCCCCCTCCCCACCTGCTTGTGCTGGTTATGTAATTAACCCAGCTGAGTCTCTCTGCCAAGCTGGCAGTGGCCAGGGATGCCTGAGGGGCCTACATGGGGAGGAGGGATTACTACTTCCCCTAGTCAGGAGCCCATGTAAGTGTAGAAGCACCTGTTGGAAAAAGGACACTGCACGGAGCAGGAAGGAGATCCTGATCCTTAGTCTTAGCTGACAACTCAACTGGCTGTGGGGTCTTCACTGAGTCTTTGGGGATTTTCTTTTTAACCGTCAATAAAATGAGAAGAATCTCTTAAGTACATACTAGATGTATGTGAGCCCAGGCAACGGTGGATGGTGATCCCTCCTGGGATTGCTAGGAGGTCCCGTTGAGATCATGGAAAACCTTAGATGGATGAAAGACCCCTGTGCATAATAATGGCCACTGTTCATTGAACACCCCCTCTGTGCCTGGCACTGAGCTGGACATGCACGACCTCACAGCCCTCTGAAGTCTTGCCTCTAGGTGAGTGGCAGAGCTGGGAATCAAACCCTGGTGGTTCTCACTTCAAATCCTGCCCTTTATTTGCTCTGCTGTATGTACACATACTCCATGGATTGAGTTCTCTGAACCAGGACAGCCACAGGGGACGTTGAGCTGTGGATTGTGCATATGTGGAGGGAACACGCATTCGCTGAAGCAGCCTGCACACGCACGCTAAAAGCATGGCCCTGTCAGAATCCAGCAAATTGCCCTGAGCCTATTCAGCAGGTGCTGGTATCACCCTCCTGGGAATCCAGACAGGAGGCCTCAGGCATCTACCAGCCTCCCTGGTCACCAGCCCCAGCAGAAGGAGAAAGGTTCTCTCCTTTTTGCTGGCTAAGAGATTTGCTTTGATTATCTCAGGAGCAGGGGCTGTTGACCCTGTTTTACATATGTGCAGAGCTTGGCCCAGAGCGGGCAGATGATTTGCCCATTGACCCACAGCTAGGACACATCAGAGTTGGGGTTTATACACAAGCTCTAAAGTCATTGAAACTGAGCAAGCAAGGAGCTAATGAATGCATTCCAAGGTCTAGTCCCCTAGCACCCCCTTCCTAGCACCTGCTGTGTGCCAGGCCCTCTGAGTTCCAAAGGATGCCAGAGAATGAGACCCAGCCCTTGGGCTGTCATGTCACATTCACCAGCTAGGATCACTACCTTTGAAAGTTGGAAATGCTGTGACATTGTAGAAATGAGTAGCTGCCATTCCCAGCTATGTGACTTGGGGCATACCTTACTCCTTCTGAGCCTTCTCTCTAAAGTGGGGAATAACACCACCCAATTGTATTGCCCAGGCATAACCACAGGACATGCCACCAGAGTAAGTGGCTGACAGCATTGTGCTCCAGAGCCAGAGAGGTCATCTAGTGCAGGCTTCTATATTGGGGGCATTTGGAAATGGAGGAGCTGTTTGGGTCATTGTGGTGACTGGAAGCTGCTGCTGGCAGTTACCTCCTGGGAGCCATGGAGGGAAAATGTCCTGCAATGTGTGGGTGGTCCTGCACATTAAAGAATTCTCCCCCTACAGAATTCCAGGAATCCCTCCCCTGAGATGATGAGAGTGAGACAGAGGAGTTGCTCTTTTGTCCCGGCTCTGTGGGAAAGCCAGGATTTGAACCCAAGTCCAGCGCTGTCTGCACTCTGCTCTGCAGCCTGCCTTGGTTGGGGAGTTGGATCTGGAGAAAAGTCAGGTCATGATATGAGTCAAAAAAGATAGATTCCCACTAGTAGGATGGCAGGAAACAAATGGAGAAGTTTTGGATAGGTGGAGATAGGGGTTCTGGGGAAGGGGAGGCATTCCCGGTGGCAGTAACAGCTTCAGCAAAGTCCCACAGGTGGACAGGACGTGTCTGGGATGAGCCAGTGCACTAAGCCCACCTCTTGTCCCCACAGTCCAGGTGGAGGCCGCAGAGGGCCCAGGGTAAACAGAGGCAACAATGGTTGGTCCCGACGGTGGCTGAGCCCCCAGCCCCTGGAATATGCAGCCCGGGGGGGCCCCAGGCAGCGGCAAGGACGCGGTGGCGGAGTGGGGCGGAAGGCATGGTCTCCACCTACCGGGTGGCCGTGCTGGGGGCGCGTGGCGTGGGCAAGAGTGCCATCGTGCGCCAGTTCTTGTACAACGAGTTCAGCGAGGTCTGTGTGCCCACCACCACCCGCCGCCTCTACCTGCCTGCTGTCGTCATGAACGGCCACGTGCACGACCTCCAGATCCTCGACTTCCCACCCATCAGCGCCTTCCCTGTCAACACGCTGCAGGTAGGCAGGCCCTCCGGGGCAGTGGGCCAGGGGGAAATGGAGGGGTGGGGGAGGAGGAGCTGGACTCCAGCCTGCTCTAGCTCCAGACCTATTGCCAGGGCCCCCTGCTGGGTTTGAGAGCTCTGCTCCTTGGGCCACTCTGCCCAGATCTGTTCCAGGAATCCATTCATTTGTGTGCTAGTTTATTCAACAAATATTTGAAGACTGTTTAATGTGTGCCAGGCCCTGCAGTGGGCATTGGGGCAGGATGGTGAGCAAAACAGAATGGGAATTTGCTTTCAAGGAACTCATAGTCTGGTGAGAAAAGACTAACAGGCAGTTACCATGTAGTATGATAGGCAAGTGCTGTGATTGGAGGAGACGCAGGGAGCTGGACAGACCCAGTGTGTGGGGGTGGGGAGGGGGCTCACAGGAGGTAGTATCTCCAGTAAGTAGGTTTTAGGCAGGTAAGGGACAGTAGAGAAGAGGACAGGGAACACTAGCTGCCTGCTGATTTTCTGGGCTCTGTCCACCACGGCCTCAGACCCTCACTCCTTGTCATCTGTAGCGGGGAAAGTAGCAGACTGGGCCGGGACCTGGGAAGGTGTATTCTCAGAGACTCTGGGGACCCCAGTCAGATCTCTTGTCTGAGGTCCTCTTCTCTTAGGTGATGCTCTGTCCCCTGACCTCAGGACCTGCCTGTGGGACACCCTTCTGCCAGGCGTGGATTTAAATGCCCTCAGAGTCCTTGCTTACCGTGTTCCTTCCCTTGGAGCAGAGGGAAGCTGAGCTCTAAGACATGTTTGCTCACTGAAGGAAGCCTCTGACCAGAGCAGAGGTTTGCAGGGAAGAAAAGGCACCGTGGGAGAGACCCAGAAGGCAGGGGACAGGGCTTGGCCCAATCCAATATACTTGAGAAAATGCAGCAATTTCTCAGACTAAGACTAGGGCCTGGGGCTGGTAAGGAGCTCAGTGGGTGGTACTGTCTCAGCAACACCAGGCAGAAGTGCTTTGACCCAACCTGCTAGAAACATTTGTTTCTCCCATCCCAGGTGCCTGGGTCAGCGCAAACACAAACGCCTGATCCATGCATCTGCCCCAGAACCGGTGAGGCTGAGCCAGTCTAGTTCTCCTTTAAAGGAGACTTTAATGGTATAGCTAGCCTGATAGACACTCAATTTTTTTCTCCAAGCCTGTACACTGAACTTTATCTTTTCATGTATGTTGTGTATTTATTTTTAATTTAATTTAATTTAATTTTGGAATAGGTAAGATACAATTTAAAAGTCCAAACTTTGGCCTAGAGAAATTTTGATGTCATCCTTTACCCCCTTCTCCCTGGCTCCTGCCCGCCCCCCTCTCTGTAAGCATTCTTGTTGGGTTTTGGTCCATACTTCCAGTGTTTCTTTACTCAAATAAGAAAATGTAGGTTAGGTGCAGTGGCTCAGGCCTGTAATCCCAGCACTTTGGGAGGCCAAGGCAGGAGGATCAATCATTTGAGGCTAGGAATCTGAGACCAGCCTGAACAATATAGCATGACCTCATCTTCTACAGAAATTTTTAAAAAATTAGCCAGGCATGGTTGTGAGCACCTGTAGTCCCAGCTACTTGGGAGGCTGAGGCTGGAGGATCCCTTGGGCCCAGGAATTCCAGCTGACAGTGAGCTATGATCAGACCACTGCACTCCAGCCTGGGCAACACAGTGAGATCCCGTCTCTGAAAATAAACAAAAAATAAAAAATAAAATGTATTCTTATTCTACCCCACTTCTTACATAAAACCAGAAAGCCCTACAAAAGCTACACTGGTCTATACCTTGGTGGGTTTTTGTTTGTTTTTTTACTTAATATTATAACCTGGAGATTTTTCCACGTCAGTGTCTAGAGGACTTCCTCCTTTTTCATGGCTACATTGTACTCCATTGAAGAGATGTACCAGGGAGTCCTTTCTCCTTGAACAAGTGGGTAGTTTCCAGTCTTGTGCTGTTTCAAACAATGCCACAATGAATAGCCTTGTGCATAAGTGACTTTGCACAGAGCTAGGTATATCTGTGGGGTTGATGCCTGGAAATAGCACTGCTGGATCAAAGGGTGAAAGCAACTGGGGTTTGGAAGGCACTCCCAGTTCCCCTCTGTGGAAGCTGCATTTGCCGCGCTCCTGTAAGCAGTGTACACGAGAGCCCTTTTCCCTAAAGCCTCACCATCGGAGTGTATTTTCAAACTTTTGGATTTTTGACAATCTGGATGAGCTATGATATTCTCAGTGTAGTCTTTATTTGCATCTCTGATTATAAGCGAAGTTGAGCATCTTTTCGTATGTTTAAGGGCCTCTGTTTCTTTTTCTGAGAACTGTTAATTTCCTTTGCCCATTTTCCTATTGGGCTATTGGCCCTTTTCTTCGTGATTGGCCCTGCGTTTTGGAGTAAAGGGACAAGCCAGCCAATCAAAAGCCTTCCTCCTCTCCCTTTTAGGAGGCCCCAGAGAGGAGTGGGTGGGAAGCAGCCTGGAGGTCCCTTCAGGGAGGCAGAATGTTGGGGGAGAGGTGAGACTGTCACCCTCAAAGGCTGGCAGCTGTGCCAGCAGAGAGCTTGAAGGGCAGGAACCTCTCACCCCTCTCACTTCTCACTGATCTCCACTTGTCCTATGGGATGGGGGTGGAGTCATATACATATGCAGGCCCCAGGCTCCTGGAGGTCACGGTGTCCAGCAGAATGCAGTCTTCCCTGGCCTAAGAAACCAGTTTGTGGTTTCCTATGGCTTTAGATTTCTCTTTAGCATCCCTCCCCTGCACTGAAAACTAAAACCTCAGCACAAAGAAAAGATGCCACATCATCTCCCTGGGGAAATCCACTGCAGCATCTTCCAAGCCTTTGAGTTGGGAAGTGCTGCTCTGAAGTTAGACTTAACTGCGCTACTGCCACCAGTCTTTTCCCTTTTATTCCTTCTTTGAAGTGGAGAACCAACTATAGTCCTCCTTTGTGCCTGGTTCCTGCCCCACTCATAAGCTGGGACAGGAGATATGCTTCTGCCTCCTCCTAGTGTTTTGCCTGGGTCCTCGAGGGAGAGGACCCTAGTTCCCTTTGCCCTACCTCTGTCCCCTCCACTTCATGCACCCCCTTCTTTCCACACACTGGCTGCCTGAAACTGCTCTTGCAGCTGCAGCTGCTGGCAGGTTAACTAGCTAATTAATCTGTTAGAGAGCCTTTCATCTTGAGCTGCAGCCCCTCCCTGAGAAGTTGCCACAAACATTCAGGAAGTTACATATCCCTGGAGCTGCCCTGGGTCCCTGCTCTACCTCAGCCTGTCCCGCATCCAGTCTCAATCCTTTCCTCCTCAGGCCTTCTATTTCTCAACCCTGAGGGCAGAGTGGAGCATACAGAAGGGGCACATCGGGTGGCAATCTAAGGGCAGCGTCAGAGGCAGGAGTTGCATTGATCCCAGCTTGGGCCAGGTGGTATTCAGGACCATGGAGAGCTCACCAGCTAGGCAGTGCCATTAAGGAGCCTCTGCTAAAAGGTAACAGTGCTAGGCACTGAGCAGGGAGGAGGGAGTATGTAAAAATGAGGAAGGCCTAGCTCTGGCCCTGTCAGAAGCTCACAGCAGAAGTGGAGAATGAGATGAAACAGCTCTAACGAAGGTATAATCAAAGGATTGTTAGAACACAGAAGGTGAAGGGAGCAGTTTCCTGCTTGCAAGAAGGGTGGGAAATCAGGAAGGCTTCTTGGAGGGGAAGCACTTGAGCTGAGCCTTGGAAGACAGAGAAGTTTTCAGCAGGTCCAACAACTAGCTCAGTGATGGGCCCTTAGAGGCACTTAATAAATGTACTTGTTAAACAAAGGGCTGGGTAGATGGATAGATGAGGGGACAAAATGGGACAAGGCAGATGTACACAGGACAGTACAGTGGCCCTGGAGGAATGGGAGGAAGTGGCTTGGGAATGGGGACACTGTAGCACTGGGCTCCTCCTTCCTCCCTGGGCCTGGGTGATGGTGGGTCTGCAAGGTTTCAATTGCAGTGGCAGGTGAGAGCACTGTCAGTCTGGCGGAAGGTGGCTGGGCGCTAGGGGAGCCCTCATGACTGCTCTGACCCTGGTACTGGCTGGGGGGGTGGTTTGCAGGAGTGGGCAGACGCCTGCTGCAGGGGACTCCGGAGCGTCCACGCCTACATCCTGGTCTACGACATCTGCTGCTTTGACAGCTTTGAGTACGTCAAGACCATCCGCCAGCAGATCCTGGAGACGAGGTGAGGACCAGCAACCCAGTCCATTGCCATCTCTGTGGATGCCCCAATGCCAGCCAGTCCCTGAGAAAAGGGGACAGTAGGGGGATACAGATGAAGCATATGTGCTCTCAGATTCCCACACTCAAACCTGCACACACTCACTCACATTTTGCTGTCCTCATTTCTGCCCACTCATTTTGGGACCCTGACCATGGGGTGGCTAGACTAGTGCTGTGGTTAAAAGCTTAGACTTAGGGACCAAGACTGCCAGGGCCACTCAGCTGCATGACCTTAGGCTAGTTAACATTGAAGCCTGTTTCCTCATCTGGGAAATGGGCATAATAATAGTATCCCCCTTTTGGATCAGTTGTACTGATCAGGGACTTTAACCTCGAGGGCTTAGAGCTGTGCCTGGAACAGAACGTAGGGTGGTGGTAGGCTGCCCCTCGGTGTGTCTAGTGGTTGCGAGACTGGCACGGTTAGAGTTCTGAGATTCCTGCCTCGCCCCGCAGGGTGATCGGCACCTCGGAGACGCCCATCATCATCGTGGGCAACAAGCGGGACCTGCAGCGTGGACGCGTGATCCCGCGCTGGAACGTGTCGCACCTGGTGCGCAAGACCTGGAAGTGCGGCTACGTGGAGTGCTCGGCCAAGTACAACTGGCACATCCTGCTGCTCTTCAGCGAGCTGCTCAAGAGCGTCGGCTGCGCGCGCTGCAAGCACGTGCACGCCGCCCTGCGCTTCCAGGGCGCGCTGCGCCGCAACCGCTGCGCCATCATGTGACGCCCCTGCTCCCTGCGCAGGCGGGCGGGCAGAGCCAGGCTGTGGGGACCGCTTCCCGGGGGAGCGGGCGGGGTAGAACTGTGGGGGCCGGGCAGCCACGCACCTCTCAGTGAGGGGCGGAGCGCGCGAGAGGGACCCCCTCGTAACTGCTCGGTCCCCCGCCCGTGCTCCTGGGACAGCGGCCTTCAGCGCTGCAGTCAGTGCAGGGCCCGGCCCGGCCCGGAGGGGCGCCACAGCCTTTGAGGATTGCGGGTGCGCGTGTGACATGGAGGGTGGGGGTGCGGAGGCGCTGCCTTGGCCGGGCCCCCACCTGTCTTCTCCGGAGTGTGTCTGTCTTTGCCCGGTGTCTTCCCTTCCCGTGTCCATCTGCCCCAGCGTCTGTTGGTCCTTGCCTGTCTTACCCGCCCTCCAGTCCCCCTGCCGGCCCCCAGCTCCGCTCACAGGGCTCTCATTTCGTCCATCCCCTTGTCGCAGATCCTGGCAGCTGCTTTGTGAGGCCAGGCCTTCTGACCGTCAGCATCACCGGCACAGGGCAGAGTCGCGGGTGGCCCAGGGACCACAATCAAAGGGTCCGGGGGTTGAGGTCCCAGATCAGTCATGGGGAGAAAGCTGAGCTCTCTCGCTCCCAGGGAGATCTCCCCACCCAGCAGCCCCCAGAGACACAACAACCTACCTTCCAGCCTTAACTCGATGGTCCGTCCCTGCCAGGTGCCCCCCACTCTCTTCCTGACCCCAGAGCTGGGTCACCCCCTGGGTTACAACATTGTTTTTGTTTTTATTTACAAGACTATGGAGAGGGAATTCCCCCAAAGGCTAGATTCTTTTCCATGATGCCAGGTTCCAGTTCTCGATTCCCTCCTGCATCTGGTCTGCCAGATTGGGGGGTGTTGAGTCTCGGGGGCTGGTGGTGGGCAGGGTGGTGCCCAGGAGGGGGTCGGGCTATGCCAGGGAAGATTCTGTCTCCCTGTCCCACCCTAAGCTGACTACCCCAGACTCTGCCTGCCTCAGATATCAGAATTCCCTGATCCACCTGGGGAGGGGCAGAGCCAGGAAAAGAATTGTGGAGACCCCTTGCTTGGGGGAGATAAGCCTGCATCCCCACCCATAGATAGAGGCCCTCAGGATCTGACACCCCCCTGTCCCAACACAGTTGACCCGATGCCCTAACTCACTCCACCCCATTTTCTCCGGCTGCCTGGCCGGGTTTCTACCTCTCGTCACCGGAGCTGATCACTGTCAGTTTTGTACCGATTTAGAAATAACAATAATAATGAAGATTCTAGGAATGGCCTGAGGGATTGCTGGGGGACTTGGAGGGAGGAAGAGGTGGTGCCCCCTGGCCAAAGAAAGTTCTCCTTGAGGCTGAGTCCTCAGTCCTGGTCTGGTGGAAGGATATCAAGGTCCCTTGTTATGAGAGACAGGACAACTCAGGCTTAGCCAGCTTCGCCAGGGCTGTGGCACATGGACCAGGAAGTCAGGTAGCCCAGAGTGGGGGTGGACAGGAGTCTGGGGGAACGGTCGTGGGTGGGGGATTCATCATCGACATCCAGTGTGGGAGGGAATCTGTGGTTCTCCCTGCTGCTTCCCCAGCCGATTCCCCCTCCTCCCACCCACTGGGGATAGCACAGCCCCACAGCGACTGCCCTGACCTGGGCAGTCCAGTGTTCTTGGATTCTAGTCCCTGCTGTGCTGCATGACTTTGGGCAAGTGACCTGCCCTCTCTGAGCCTCCCTCTGAAACAGAGGAGGTGGCTCCCCTTCCCCACGCTTTGCAGTGGCCGGGAGGGTAAGGAAGAGGGCTGCCCCTTTTGTCTCCTGCACTCTGGTCCCCTGGTTCACCAGGGGGGTGGGGTGAGGGATGGCAGCATCTCACATGCCCCATTACCCCCAACTCTGAGGCACATGAGAGGGTTGGGGGACCCATTGCCCCCATGGGAGCCATTGGAATGTGTCACCTGACAGGCCCCCTCCCCCCCTCTGCTTCACCCCAGGTCTTGGATGTCAGGTCCCTCCACCCCCATTCTGAGTCTCTGTCCTTCCCTTCTCCCCCCACCCCCCAGGGTTTCCCACCACAGGGTCTGGAAGTGTGTGTGACGCCCATTGAGCTGTTATTGGAAGTCAGATTAAAAATCAGGGAGTGTTTTCCCTTGTTTCTGTACCAAGGTGTCAGCTCCGTTTCTCATGGCGGGAGGGCCGAGGTCCCTACAGGGCCTGCCTGCGGAGCTCCGTGTAGAACGGGGGGTGAAGGTGATGACATGGGCCCTGTCTCAAAGCCCAGGTTGACCAGGACATCAAAGGAGAAGAGTTGGGGACTTATCTCCTTTCCACCTAACCCGAACCCTCCAGCTAATTAAAACCATCCAGAAGGGAAGTGTAACTTCTCCCCTGCCACTGTCTCTGGAAAATTTCAACCCCGGCTCCTGCTTCTCCCTCCCACTCAGGGCTGAGCCGATGCAGGTGTGTTAGGAATGCTCTTCGCCATCCCTCTCGACCCTGACTGATCTCACTTCTCAACCCCCAGAGCAAAGCTTTGAGGTCCTGGGCAAGGGTGGCTCACAGGACCCCGAGTGTTGGGGGCTGGGGTGGGGGTGGCCTTGTCCCTGTCCATGGTGCTGACCCACCAGCCACTTCCAGGAAAGATGGGCCGTCTGGAGATGTTGGCTGAGCCTCAAGAGAGGACAACTCTCTCAGCCCCACTCCTGCTTGTCCCCATTCCCCATGCCCTCCAGTGGGATGACATTTGAAACCTACGCCTTCCTGCACCACCAAAGTCCTAGAGTGAGGGACTCAAGAAGCTGGGGTGTCAAGGACAGACCACGTGTGTTTAATAACTTATGGGACTTGCAGAAATGAGGGGCATGGCTAGAGGCCAGAGGCCAGGAGTGTGGGGAGCTGTTCTGGAGGAGTGCTCCACTGCCCCTGGCCTTCCTCTGGAGTGGGAGTGAGATCAATGGCTTGCCCCTTTGCTCAAACGAACAGACTGAGGCTGTATTTGTCCTCTGCCTGCCCCTGGCCAAAGCCCTGTCTTGTGGGCCTGCAGCGGCGAATCCAGTGGATACGTGGGCATCCTTTTTGTCCCCCTCCTCTGCAGCACCCTCAGGCCCTTAGACCCAGGACTCCTCCTCAGGTGGGGGTGGGGCTCGGTCGGGCTGCTGTGGCCCCAGGCCCCCCAAAGGCTGTGGGCTGCTCTCCAATGGGGCGCCTGGCTCTTCCTTCTCTTTTTCTTCCTCCTCCTTCTCCCCCTTTGATGTTCCAGCCACTCCAGAAGCCTCCCCTCCCTTGCTGCCCCTCCCAGCCCTCAACAGCCTGCCTCTAGGGGGCGCCCTGGCTGGACCCAGACAGAGGTAGGCCAGTGGCTTGGGGATTCTCGAAGGCCGTTTCTCAGGCCTGTGGTCTCTCCGGGGCCGGATCCTGGGCCTCAGCTTCAGCTTGTAGATGGATGGGACCCGCTGGGGTTTCCGGAGTGTTCTCTTGCCCTCCTTGCCCAGGCATGCCTTGGCTTTGTCAGAACTGGGGTTAAAGGACAAAGTTGTGGAGACTTCCGGGCTGGCAGACACAGTAGGGGCTGAGCAGTCCTGCCCTCCTGGAGGTGGGACCTTCCTCATGCTGGTGCCCTTGGCACTCAGGCTCTTGGCACTTGCGTCTCTCCTTGGCGAATGCTCTCTGGCTCCCAGCCTCCCTTTTGGGCTGCCTGGGCCCGTGGCACCAGCTGGCTTAGGACATGTTGGGGCTGCCTTCCAGGCTTCCAGGTCCACTTTAAAGAGGGGTGGGGGGCCCTGGGCCAGTTCTTGGATGACTCTGTCATAAGGACTCCCAGGCTCAGGCCACTGCCCACCCAGGCTGGGGACGTAGACTCCACTTCGAGGAATGACCCCAGACCCTGTGCCCTGGGGACAGGCATCCCCCACCTCTAGCAGCTTCATCTTGGCCAAAATCTCCTCTTCAAGGCTATAGCGGGTGGCTTGCCCTCCGGGGCCGCCCAGGGGCGGGGGAGTGTACCTTCCCTCCCGCGCCTGCGGGCCCAGGCCCCAGGGCTCTCCAGCCTCTGCCGTGACCTGGATGTCGGGATTCTGGTCCCTGTGCCTCACTTCAACAGCGCAGTCCTCATGTCTGGACCTAGCCAGGTCCCCAGTGATGGCCCTTAATGGGATGGGGCCTCTCCCAAGTTCTGTCCTGGGACTTTCACATGCAGCACCTGGAAAGCTTCTTCCTGGTGTCGGGGGGCGGGCAGGTGGCAGCTGGATGGGCATCTTGGTGAGTCCTTTAACAGGGCATGGAGGATGGACAGGTGCTGGCTCCCTGAGCTGGGAGGAAGCACCCCTGTCCTCATCCGAGAGTGGCAGCCTGAGGCCCAGGGGCTTGGCTAGGCTAGAGGAACGAGGCGGGGGAGATGGTCCCCGTGCTGATGTTCCCTTGGTGGTGGCCTCAGGGGCTCGGAGTCTTTGGGGCGTTGAGGTCCTCCTAGCCTGGGTTCCCTGGCTGTCTTTTTCCTCATGAACCCGAGATGTGGGAGTCCTTCCCCTGGGGAGTCCAGGGGGGTACCTGTCCTCCCTCTTCCCAGACGAGGTACACTGTGGGTCTTGGCCCCCATGGGTGAATGAGGACCAGGCACTGGGTGGGCTGTGCCCAGCTGGCAGCTGCCTCCAAGACGGGGTACAGGACCTCTCCTGGCACCTGAAAGGGAGAATCACAAGGCTGGAAAGGGGGGACTGGTGAGGCTGGCAGGGTGGGCTGGGGCAGTCCCCTGGCTCTGAGGAGAGATGGTCTTTCCCCAGGGAGACCCCAAGATGGCTAGACTTCATGCTGAATGAAACACGTGGCGGCCACTGTTTCAGTCTATTCTCCCTTGTTCCCTGTGTGGCAGATAGAAGGAAGCCTGGCCTGGGCCTGGGGTCAGAGCTCTCAAAGGGTGATCCCAGACCAGAGATCTGGCAACCAGGGATCACTAGCAGCTTCATGTTGGTGGAGGTGGGGGTAAGGCAGAGAACCTTGGGTAAGTCTGTTCCCTATCTGGGCCTCAGCCTCCCCATCTGTGAAATGGGAAGGATATGAAGGGAGCAGATGCTCTCAAAGTTCCTGGTGCCTTTTCAGTTCAGAACACCTGAGGTCTTGCTGGGGCAAGGGCACTGCAGGGGACCTGCTTTCTTTATCTTGGAATGTGGCCTCTGAGAATGGGGACTCCAAAGGAAAAAATAGGCCCTTTTCTGAGAACACCCCCATACCTGAGAACCCCCGCCCCTGCTCCCCGCTCGCTGCGTGGTCTGGGTGGGGAGGCGGTGGGGGGCCTCAGCTTTCGGCCTGAAGAAGTGTATGTCTTCCAGTCCACGGGGGGCAGTGGGCTCTGGGAGCGGCTGATGGTCATCGTAGGCTGGGGCTGCGAGGGGCCATCCTGCACCCTCACCTCGTGCTGCACTGGTGGGGCTGGGGGCTTCAGGAGGCCGCCGGGCTTGTGTGCTGCCAACACCGTCCCCCAGAAAAAGGAGAGGAGGGAATGTTCAATTCCTGCATATGGGGCCCATTGTTCCCCACCCCTGGCTGTCCCTTGCTTCTTATCCCACACTAAAAACAGTGGGACCTACAGTGGCAGCACCAGAATTTCCTTATAGGGCGCACTTAGGAGACAGAGGCCCAGCTGGGGGGCTTGTTTAAAGCTGCATTTGTATGGCAGGCCCACAGCTTTTAATTAGAGTATGTGCTTATTTGGGGTGGCTTGAGGTGCTGATGGAGATTTCGGAAGGACCTTCCGTGTCATGCTTGGTGCCACCACTGTGGACCCCAGAGCCAGACCTAAGCTCTGCGGGGAGGCGCCGGGACCAAATGCTGGTTCTGCGTGTGTCGCGCGCCATCTCGTGGCTACGGTTAGTACTGCGCCGTGACTGTCCAGCTACGGCGCCTTCTTTCCTCCAGCCTCCCCCGCCCCTCCCCGCACCCCTCTTAGCCCTGGAGATCAGGCCTACCCCCACCTCTGCTTCCGGCCTCCCGACCAAGAGCTACACCTGTCCAACCAGCCCCACAGAAAGAGGAGACTCTCAGGGGACTCACAGAGGGACGTGCACCTGCAGGGGTCATGTTTGTCCAGATAATGGCCCAGCGTGTCCCAGCCGCCCCCCACGCGTACCATCACGTGGTTCCGGAGGATCTGAGGGGACAACCGGGTGAGGTTGAGGGCGGAGGGCATTCCCTCTTCCTGGACCAGCTCGCAGGCTTCCAGCACGCACTCAGGGACACTCTCGTCCATGTACTCACGCACACGCAGATGCTCCCTTGTGCATGTGTGTGGTTGGGAGCGTGTATATTTTTGCAGCCTGAGTCTCCTCCATGACTGGCATTGGATGACACATGTTGTCAAGGGTGGGGGCCAGGCTGGCAAGCAGAAAGTTGCCCCACAACTGGACAAGGGCTGTCACAGGCACTGTGTAATCCGGAGCACTCCTTTCTGTCTCTTTGCTGGAAAGGGTTTTGCACCTGCACATGCTTGTACCCAAAATGGGGGCCTACGCTGCTGGCTTGGACTCTGTGATATGTGTGAATGAGTCCCTGAGCGTCCCAGCCCTGCTCCACTCTGGGGCAAGTCGCATAGAGTCTCCAAGCTTCAATTTCCTGTTGAAAAGTGGGGCCACCATTCCTTGCCCCTACCTACTTCATGGGGCTATTGCCTCAGGGTCCAGGTGAGGGTCCAGGAAGCTGGCTCAGGTGTGGCCTGTGCCCAAGGAAAGGGCTTGGCCATGCCCCAAGCTGGGGGCCACCCCTTTGGGTATAGGTGCCGGTGAGGCACAGCCAGGTATTGGGGCACATTTCAGACCTGTGCTACTACTCACTGCAGAATGTACCCAGAAGACATGCAAAGGGGAGGGGACTATGGGATCAACGTGGCCGGGGCCAGGCACTGAACACAGACTTGGGGTTCTCAGGCCCCTTGCTCAACCAACCCATCAAGCGAGTGGAGTGGAGTGGAAAAGCGGGGGTGCTCTTCTCCATACTCCACTTCTGCCTAGGGACACCCTCTACACTAGACTAAGTTGGAGGTGATGGAGGGCGGTGGTTCTGGCTGCCCTGACGGGAAGAGGGAATAGGCTTGCCAACTCTGCCAGAAACTTCTTGGAATTCTCCCAGGGAGAGGAGAGCTCCAAAGTCTGATGGCTTGGGGAGAATGGTGAC